TTGACTCAAAGCTTTAACTCATATATTTTTTTTTTATATAGAAAAGTTTTTTTAGCTAAAATTATGTATTGACTTTTCTTTTACAGTAATTTTCTTTGATAATAATAATTATTATTTTTTTATAATTATTGTAATTTACACTATTAATTATTTTTTTATTGGGACTCAACAGTTTTTATTTTAAAAAATAAATTATTTATTAACTTTAAAAAAATAAAAATTTAATAAAAATCTAAAGATTGCAAAAATAGTAAATATAGTTTTCACGCAAACAAGAGACTTTGAAATAAACAACACATAATTTTTTAAATAAATATGTATACTTTTTTAAATATCGATATGTAAATACATATATATAAATACTGATAGATCGAATATGACTTTTTTAAAAAAAAAAAATTTGAAACAAAAAAAAATATTAAACTTATTTATTAATACATATTATATAAAAGAAAATTATGATATTATTATCTACTCATATTTTGTATTTCAATGATATTATAAATTTAAATTGACAAAAAAATTATATTTTAAACATCTATAACTCATGAATTATATATGTTTTCTTCTTATACATTCCTCTTGTTATGTAATTTATTTTTATATTTAATTAATAATATTGAGGAGGTGTCGATGAATACGACTGCCATCTATCTTGATGGTTCAATCAACTTTTGGTGGCAGACCAAAAGACGTAAAGAACACGGAGCGTGAAGTGCAATTAGATCCATTTTGAGAACGAGTTTCGGGTAGAATGGAGGGTTCCTGTCCGGTTGTGGTCCGACATGTTGATGAAATTGAAGCAAAGAGGATACTGAACTTATTAATAAAGGTTATATAAAATTTTTAGACGGTGTGTTAAATTTAAAGAAATATTTTTATTTATTTTTTATTGTTCTCTTATTAATTTTATATTTTTGATAATAATAATATTATTATCATAATTTAATTAACTTACAAATATTGTTATTTGTGTGTAATATGAGAGAGAAATTTAATTTATTATAGAATGCATATTCAAAGTGAGAGTATAATAAACTTTCACCATCTATAACTTACAAATATGTATATATTTTCCTCTTATATATTCTTCTTATTTTAATATTTAACTAATAATTTCATGGAAAGACTATAAATAAAGTTATATGAAGTTTTTGTTGTTGTCTTATTATTTTTTTATTCTTAATAGTTTGTAATAAAGTTTAATAGAGTTTACTTTAATTTGATTTCAAAATTTTCCAAATCAAATTGAAACCTAATTAAAAATTTAATTTCATTTTTGAGTTTGAATTAAACAGCCAACCCCACCAGTCACTCAACCTAGCTATACATACAGTTAAAATGTATTTACCGCCTCTAACAATTGTCCAAAATTTTGATTCAACCCGGTCTAAACCCTACCGGGCATCCCTGTAATTTGCTAATCTCTCTCGCGCTCGTCTCCGACTCTCTTCCAGACTTTGCCTCCAGCCTCCCTGATTGGAATATCGCTCGGCGGTGATCGCTGCTCTCAGTACCGGCAGCACCCCTATCTCGCTTCTCAATCTAATCTCTGGTTCGTTTCTCCGCGTAAGAACTGTACTTCAGTTGCCTCCCATCACTTGCATGTCTGAATTTGTGAAGTTTTCTCGCACTTTCATCTAGGTAATTATGATAAAGATTATATGTCTCGCTACTAATAATTATACCAACGCAACAACCAAACATGTTAGCAGCTATTACACATGTAATGACTATTCCTTAGTTGTTCATCAGGTTTTATTCTGTAAACCAAACTTGCCATAAATTTTTTCACCATCGCGGTTCTTCTTCTCTTATTTTTCCGTTTTTCAGGTTATTTTGTTGTTTTTTTTTTTCTGAAAGTTCTCTCGATATTTGAGTTGGTAAAGATGCATGTCGCCATTGGTGTCTGCTATGCGATTGACGATAGGTGCGAGTTAAGGACTTTTGCTGGCAACTGCATTAGAATTCTTTCTTGTGCAGATGATTGAATATTGTTATTGGGTATTCCTTTTGTTATATCTTTTATCTATTCATGTTGGCGCAGAGGAATTTGATGTCAGTTATTGAGTTAAGTATTATCTATTAGCCAGTTATTGGGTACTTTGGATAGAAGAAAAAACAGCTTTTGACCTTTTCCAGTTAGCAGTTATATTCTATGATTGTTCAATGGGTTATTATTGCCCCTTGAAAAGTGCAATTTATCTGGTTTTTTCCCGTCTGTAATAACTAATGCTTCGGGTTGAAGTTTTTCATTTTAAAATAGTAGTTGTCTTCTTCATTCTCCATTTACAGCATGCTCAAATGCCATCTGGTATCTGGATCCATTATTTTTTGACTCATTTTCTTCTTCCATCCGGTTTTTTGATTCGTACAAGGTAGTTTAGTATGGCAGAGGAGAGTGAAGAAGTGAAGTCCTTTAAAGAGTTGGGATTACGAGATGAACTGATAGAAGCTTGTGAGAATTTGGGATGGAAAACTCCTTCAAAGATACAAGCAGAGGCTATTCCTCATGCAATAGAAGGTTTATTATCTCTTGCACATTCCACAACCATGTTATAAGAGTCTTTTCTTTTCTTCTTATTTTTTTTAATTTCCTTAATCACATCTTTGTTATTTTTGATTACTTCTTTGCCTGACTTTTGAAAATCAAAGAAAATGAGATAATGTGAAATCTCATATTTATCACAGAAAATAAAAGTTGTTTTTGTGATTCCTGCCACCTAATTTGTTTTTGTTGGGGCAACATTTTTTTTTTCCTTTTCCCCAGTTGGTGCACCTTTTTGTTTCATTGTTTTGCTTTCTTCTTGTTTTTCTTTTTTTTTGTTTTTTTTATATTTCCTTTTTCTCTTTAATTGGACAATTTGTTTTACCTTCTGTTTTAGACTTTTGGTAGCCTATCCCATATTTGGTCACTAATGGGCTTTATGTTGCTTGAAAGTTCAATTTTATTGCCATGCCTATGTTGGATATGATACGATATTGATATCGTTGTGGATTCTGTATGCAACACTTGATTGTATGTTTAAAACTTGATGACTGGAACTAGTGGTTATGGTTTATGATAAAATGTAGATAATGATAAAGACTCTGAGGTGAAAAGTTGAAAAGGAACAAAGAAATAGGAATACTGTTTCTTAAGTGCCAAGAACTTTTTTGTAAGCAATACACAGTAGTTGTGAATCTAAGTAGCATCTTACTTTGTTTTTTCTTTTTCATTTTCACTACATAACTGAAACTGCTGTCTTTCTGGGTTAAAGGTTGTATTTTATGTATATGACATTATGTCAGCTACCTATTGGGTTATATTAATTATGTAATTTGATATACCCCTTGGCTTAATTAATTTTATAATCTTTCTATATCAAACTAACCCAAGTACCTGTGTCCATTTGTTAGACCCTCTTTTTGACTGTCACCATATCTTTAACTGTAAAAAGTTGCCAAAGTCAGACACTTATATCCATTACTGTACCTGAACTTGCACCAGAATCTAAGCAATATGTTGGTGTTTGTTCTATGCGATAGATGTTCTGTTATTTAGTCATCTGAAATTTTGATATATGTAAGTGCTTTCCTCTGTTTAAAGTTCTTGTTTGTTATGATGTTGACGTGCTGATTACTTAAGGCTTGGAAGTTAATTTTATGTTTTCATAGCTGTGTTTCTCTCTGATTTTCCATCCCTTCAGTTGTTGTTGGAAAATGAAAGGTCAAAGAAAGAGCTTCTAATCCTTATCACTGTTGGTTGTTTTTGGCTAATAAAGTGGAAATATTCATTTTAACTTCCTGCAGGGCTGTTCTCTTTCAGCTATTAGTATTTGGTTGTCATTTTATTTTATTTTTTTGATTCGATAGTGAGTTTTTCTCTTTTATCTTATCTTATGGCAATGAGATGAATTTTGTTTTTTCTTATGGAGTCAGGGAAGGACTTGATTGGACTTGCACAAACGGGTTCTGGTAAAACAGGAGCTTTTGCTCTTCCAATATTACAAGCTCTTATTGACTATGTTGCTGAACGAGAGTCTAAACAAGGGCACAAACCAGATCCTGTATTCTTTGCTTGTGTACTCTCTCCAACAAGTATAACATCTGATCAGAGGTTGCAGTTATAAAAAATATCTGAATGGACAGGTCATGGGTTCATGACTGATTGTGTTTTCTTTTGTTGTGACCTTTAATATTTTGTTGTCTCTAGAGAGCTTGCGATTCAGATTGCTGAGCAGTTTCAAGCTTTGGGATCTAGCATTGGAGTTAGGTGTGCAGTGGTAAGTTGATACGGGGATTGGATTAGACTTGCAGTTATTTGTGTTGTGTGTTTTTTGTATCTGTTTCTGGTTGTTCATTGCTTCTTTCTTGTTTCCCGTGATGCATTGAAAGGATTAGTTGCTCTATTGAAATTAAGCCCCTTAACTCTCAACTCCTTGCTATGTTGAGTCTGATTATTGATGCCTTTTTTTATCTGGGAAAAGATAAACATGATATTGCACTACAAAGTCTACTGCCAGTGAAAATGAAATATCCTTAATATTTGTAAAATATTGAAAATAATGTTATTGTCACTGATTTTTTGTTCCAAAACTCGAAGTTGAAATACTTGTGGGCATTGATAATGCCTGGAAAAAGTTTGCAAGTGATTGGCTTTGATAAAATTCTTTACCTTTTTTAGCTTGTTGGAGGGGTAGACATGATGCAACAGACTCTTGCCATTGGGAAACGGCCACACATAATTGTAAGTTTTATAATACTTCTTTTCATTGAAGGAAGAAGATTTTTGTATTGCCAGTTTTTTGAGTTTTAACTTCTTTGATGGGTTCTGGATAAGATGATGGTTGCAACTCTTGATGATATAAGAGACTTTATTGATCTTTCAATTGAGCTGTAAATTCTTTTATACATGGATGGCATCCCCTTGATATCTTCTTTATATTATTCCCTTTTTCCCTCAAAAAAGGTGGGTCTAACTGTGTCTATGTGCTTGTTCCCTTTCTCATAGCCATGTCTGATTTAAATGCAAGTTTGTCTGTTTCTTTTGTTTTTTATTTGAGTAACACAAGGGGCTTTCTAAATGAAATTTGATGTTCATATTGCATACCTATGTCCTTTGGCATTTATCTTTTCTTGTGCTTACTTAGTTGAGTAAAGGGGCTTTCGAAATGAAATTTGATGTTCATATCGCATTCCTATGTCCTTTGACATTTATCTTTTTCTTGTGTAGGTTGCAACACCTGGGCGCCTTCTGGATCATCTTTCTAGTACCAAAGGCTTTTCACTTCGCATGCTGAAATATTTGGTATGCTTTTCTAATGTTTATGACAAGAACATTAGAGTCTTTAGATTCTTTTTTCTGCAATCATGGATTTTGATCTATTGCTCATGTTTCTTAATAATGCATTTTAAGAAATTCTGGTTGTTTCTATGAGCCTGCAAAGAATCCAAGGTGCTTTTGGGGAAAGTAACTATTTCAGTCCCTTAATTGTTTGACATGTTACAATTAGTCCATAAAAATTTTTCTTTTTTGGGTTACGATTTAATCTTTCCACTTAAAAAATTGCATTAGTTCATGATTATTTTATACAACTGCAAGAATTTTGACAGAAATGATCAAAGTTCTTTTTGTTTTACCTCCATCTTTTTTAAGCAAATTACCGAATTAGTTCTCAAAAATTTGCCCTTGTGAAAATTTAGTCTCTAATATATTTTTCGTTACAATTTGATTACCAACGTTTTTTATTTGTTTCAAATGTTCAGTTTTCTTCCATTGGCTAATGAAAAAAGTTAAAGTTGTTAGGTCATGTTTGGATGCTTGAAAAGAGCTCAAGAGAATGATTTTGATTAATTAATTAAATTAATAACAATAAAAGTATGTCTATTCTTATTGTTATTAATCTAATTAATTAGTTAAAATCATATTTTTTGTTTTTTTTTTTAAATATCCAAATACAAACTAACCATTTTAGTTTTTTCTATTGAGAAATGGAAGGAAACTGAACATGTGAAACAAATAGAAAATATCAGGGATCAAAATATAACGAAAAAACATTAAGGACCAAAATTATGACAAGTGCCAAACTTCAGGAACTAATGATAATTTACCTTTCTTTAATATAGTTTTGAAAGTTATAATAATGGAAGACTAACATTAATAAATTGAACTTTAACAATCAATTTGTTAAACTATGCAAATGATTATAACAAATATTATGGAAGAAAAAGAGACTGCAATAAATATTTTTTGAATTTTTTAGTTCCCTAGTTCTAAATAAAGGAATTATATTTTCTAAGTCATTTTATGGCACCCAAGCAAAATAAGAAATTTTGCTACTTATGTAAAAAATTTCATTAAAAAAATTAGGATTGAATTGTAACATATCCCATAAGAACCGAATTGGTAATTTTTTCTTAGTTTACAACACTTTTAAATCGTTTATTAGGTTATAGCTTTAAATAATGAATAACAGTTTCCAAGAATTCCTTTTAATGAAAAAAAGAGTCTTATTAGATAGCAAACATAAAAAGCACATTGGAGGAGGCAAAAGATTCTTCTAAATAAAGAGAAAAAAAAGAAAAAAGAAAGAGGATAGAGAAACAAAAATCAAATCCTTTTGCAACATAGCCAAAGAGATATGCCTGCAATACTCGTGTGCCTTAGCTCAGAGAGATGCCAAAATTCTATCCCCAAGCAAAGCAGGTAATCACCAATCTTTAGAAGGCCCTGCATTTTTTTCCAGCCACAACACCCACAAATCAGTAGAAAAAGTACTCCAGAACAATCATTCTTATTTTTCCCAGAAGCCAGGACTCAAGAAAGTGTGAAAAAATTTGGCCCAGAGTCTCCAGACCACATCAGGATATAGAGAAAGGAAAGGTGATTATGGGATTCAACCTTCTAATAGAACATTCTAGGCATAGTTGGTGGAAAGCATGCTTTGGCCTTTGAATTTGGGGAAAATACTTTGATTTGAGACTATTAAGAACAAGAGTCCGGATAGGAAAACTTAACTTTGAGTGAGCATTCACCCTGCGAAAGGCATTTGTGAAGGCTATGTT